TTTTATTGAAGTGATAGTGTATTGCCATTTAGTGTTGGACAGACTCATTGGTTGATCAGGTAATCTAATTTCTGAATTTGGGTGCAGAGAAGAGCGCTGTTTTTACCAAACCTCTCAAAAACAGTTTGGTAGAAAGTGAAAAGACAGCACCAAGAGTCACGTAGTATAACAGCCATTAAAATATGCTTTAGTAGTTATGGTGTTTAGACTGAATGGTGGCGTATGTCTGTATCAGCAGCTAGTTAATATATATTATTACTGAGTTTATCAGTAATCGGTTTATTGACCTGAAAAAGCTGAGATGGCCTTCCCATAATTCAGCTGTCTATAGGACTGAGCAGGTATTGCAGTTGGAGCATGCACCAGCTGGTAGGTCAATATTGACTTCCCGGGAGATGTTTATCCATGGAGTCTCAAGTGGTTATAAAGAGCTTTGTTTTGTTTTTTGTAATGACTAACAGATAAAGCAGTGTTGCTTGAGACAGCATGTTTTCAATGCCTTGCACTTTATCCAAGAGAAATGTCGGCATTACTGCCTCCAGCCTGATGGCAAAATACAAACACTGAATGAGCGGAGGTGAGTTCACAAGTAAATTATGAAAAGGAAGCAATAATAACAGAAAAAAGGAGACTTCTCGGAGGTTGTAATATCTCGACACGTTGGCCTACATTTTACAAACTTCTTCCACTCACTATTTGGTAAATAAACCCTTTCGAAACTGATGGAAAATTGGTTTTAAGAGTCTGAAAGCTTCCAATCTAACAGGGAAATGGAATGTAGACATAAATGTTCTATGAGGATAAACATCATGAGGTAAACAGGCCGACTATATTAATTACTGTGCTCTCCCCGGCCGTTTCCACCTCGTGTAACCTCTGATCCAGTACCAGCACGATATTTATTACACCGCATTACGAAAAGAAAGCAGTCCGATTCCCATTTTCCTACAGAGCACCGCAATTATGGAACGACCTCTCACACACAATCAAATCTTCATTCAATCTGAAATCCTTTAAGAGATCCCTCTCTACATATCACAGTATAGAATGCACCTGTCATCGTGGCTGATTATATTTATTACTTGTTCTGTGTTTAATCTATTATGTGTATTTAACCCCTTCAGGACGGGTGACGGACCTCGTCCGTCACGCGGTAAAATTAACCCCGGATCGCCGCTATCGCGGCGATCGCGGGGTTAATGGTGCTCCCGGTATGCCTCTGTATTAGAGGCATACCGGGAGCACCCGGTCAGGCTGCCCAGCACATGTGCTCGCTCTGACCGCAAGTCTGAGCGAGCACATGTGCTCTGTATACTCACCTACCAGCTCCCTGCACTTCCGGGTTCTGTGTGAAGTGCAGGGAGCCGGATCAGTGCTGATCCTGCCCCCTGCTGTTTAAAAAAATAAAGTTTATTTAAAGTCCCCCCCCCCTTACCCATTTTAATAAAAAATTAACCCCTTCCCTGCCAATTGATCACTGACTACAGTGATCAATTGGCAGGGATTACATTTTACTATGATCTGATTTTTTTTTTAACCCCTGAGGGTTAATTCTTTTTTTTTTAACCCTCAGGGGTTAAATTAATTAAATTAATTAATTAAATTATTTTTTAATTATATATTTAGCTAGCTGGGGTAGGTGGAAGTTAGTGGGGAATTGGGGGATTTGGCGTTAGGCTAACTAGGGGTTAACGTTAAAAAAAAGTTTTAAAAGAAACTTTAAAAAGTTAAAAATTAAGCTTAAAAAATGTTTTAATAACATTTAAGTAAAAAAAACAAAAAAAACACACTTTACCTAGTCCAAATAAAAATTAACCCCTTCCCTGCCAGTCAATCACTGTCTACAGCGATCAAATAGAGATCACAGTATTATACTGTGATCTAATTTTTTTTAACCCCTGAGGATTAACTTTTATTTATTTTTTTAACCCTCAGGGGTTCAATTTATTTAATTAATTAATTTAAATATTTTATAACTATATATTTTGCTAGCTGGGGTGGGTGGGAGTTATGGGAAAATGGGGAATTTACTGTTAGTGCTGCGTACTGCTAGTTAGGGGTTAACTGTAAAAAAAAAAGCTTAGAAAAATGTTAAATCTGTAAAAAAGTTTTAAGAAAGTTTAGGAAAGTTTAAAAAAAATTTATAAGCAAAACAAAAGTTTAAAAACTAGTTTTTAAAAGTAAAAAAGTTATAAAAAGTAAAAAAATACATTTTAAAAACGCTCATTACCACTACACCTGGAACAAACTAGAGAAAAAAATTATCCCACGCCAAGGTTCAAAATATGCCTTTTGAATTACCCCAGGGTGTATTCTTTAATAAATAGTATGTGTTTGTGGGGAAGTTTCAATAACCAACCGTCTAAACTACTCCAAATTGGAACATGGACACAGCGTAAAACTTCAAAGTTAGAAAAAAACTGAATGGCTGCGTCTCAAATGCGCCCCTTCAACATCCACATATACCTGGCAAAGGTACATAGGGGGTATTGCTGTACTCAGCCGACATAGCTGAGCAACATATGAAGTATTATACAGTCATAGCACACATAAGGTTTGCAAAATATGCTGCGCAAACTCACTTTGTATGTCAAAAAGGCAGAAAAAATGCTTATTACCACTACACTTGGTACAAGCTAGCGGAAAAATGATCCCACGCTAAGGTTCAAAATATGCCTTTTGAAATACCCTGGGATGTCTTCTTTAAGAAATGGTATGGCTTTATGGGGAATTTGGATTATATAGCCTGGTAAAATACTCTAAAATGGGACATAGGCACAGCATAAAATTCAAAGTTTGAAAAAACTGGAATGGCTGTGTCCCAAATGTGCCCCTCCGATGTCCACACATACCTGGCAAAGGTACATACGGGGGTATTGCTGTACTCAGCCGACATAGCTGAGCAACATATGAAGTATTATACAGTCGTAGCACACATAAGGTTTGCAAAATATACTGTGCAAACTCACTTTGTATGTCAAAAGGCAGAAAAAACGCTTATTACCACTACATCTGGTACAAGCTAGCGGAAAAATGATCCCACGCTAAGGTTCAAACTATACCTTTTGAAACACCCTGGGGGGTCTACTTTAAGAAATGGTAGGCCTTTGTGGGGTAGTTTGAATTTAAAACCTGCGAAGATGCTTGGAAATTGCACATAGGCCCAGCGTCAAAATTCAAAGTTTGGTAAAAGCGGATATGGCTTGGTCTCCTATATGGCACTGTAGCTTCACAAAATAGTGACAAAGACATTCATTGGGGGTGTATTTTTACTCAAAAGACTTAGCTGAGCATAATTTGGGAGGTTTGAACTTAGTGGCACATATGAAATATACAAAACGCCCAGCAAAAATGCAATCCGTATGTAAAAAATGCACAAAATAATTTTTTTACCACATACTTTGGCATATATTGGTGAAAAAATGGGGGTATGTTAAGGCACAATATGCACCTTATGAGATACCCTGGAGTGTCTACTTTTACAAATGGTAGGCCTTTGTGGGGTTTTTTTGAACAGTCAAACTGTTATAATACCCCAAATGGAAGCTAAGGCTCATTAAATCCATCTCTCAAAATTCTACTGTGAATACTGTAAAGGACAGGTCTCCTATATGGCACTGTAGCTTCACGAAATAGTGCCAAAGACATTCATATGGGGTGTCATTTTACTCAGAAGACTTAGCTGAGCATAATTTGGGGGGTTTGAACTTAGTGGCACATATGAAATATACAAAACACCCAGCAAAAATGCAATCCGTATGTAAAAAATGCACAAAATAATTTTTTTACCACATACTTTGGCATATATTGGTGAAAAAATGGGGGCATGTTAAGGCACAATATGCACCTTATGAGATACCCTGGAGTGTCTACTTTTACAAATGGTAGGCCTTTGTGGGGGGGTTTTGAACAGTCAAACTGTTATAATACCCCAAATGGAAGCTAAGGCTCATTAAATCCATCTCTCAAAATTCTACTGTGAATACTGTAAAGGACAGGTATCCTGTATGGCACTGTAACTTCACGAAATAGTGCAAAAGACATACAATGGGGTGTCATTTTACTCAGCAGATGTAACTGAACACAAAATAAAACTTTGTACAGGAATAGCACACACCAACTTTACAAAATATACACGAGAATTTCTCTGTTATAAGTTTGTGTGCCAAAAACCAAAAAGAACACAATTTTACTCCAATATTTAGCAGAGGTTGGCGGTAATATGGCTACGTAGAAAGTGTCAAAACAACCTTAGGTAAATAGCCCGTGATGTCTACTTTATATAAATATATACTTTTGTGTGGCAATTTTGTTTTCTTTTATGGCTATTAAGCTTACAAGACAAACATACCAAATTCTAAAATCGCTCCACATTAAAAGTTTATTTTACTCCTTGTGCTTTGTGACCTGTAACTACCAAAAAAAACTTAAAATCCCAGACACATTATATATCCTGTAAATCAGAACAAATAAATAAATTTATTTTTAATTACTTTCCTTAACCTGCACTAATTATGCACACATTATTATTGCAAAAACTGTAAAAAAACAATATTTTTCATTTTTTTTGCCTTTTTCTGTATTTTTTTTATAATAAGTAAGCATTTATATATATATATGTTATATCAAATTAAAGCCCTTTCTGTCCTTTAAAAAACAGTATATAATATGTGTCGGTGCAATAAATGAGAGAGATGCAAATTGCAGTTGAACGCAAACAGCAAGAAAATGCAAAAATTGCTTGTGTCATTAAGCGTAAGTCAAGCTTCTGAAGCTGTGTCCTTAAGGGGTTAAAGAGTACTTTGTATTTTTAATATTATATTGTTCCCTATTGTAACAATGCAGTGTTTGTGGGCCCAGGACATACTTGAAAACAAGAGAAATCTCAATGTAACCTTCCTGATAAATACGTTATAAATAAATAAATACCTGTTAGTGTTATAGCAACAATCAAAAAAGGGAATGATGGAAGAAATTGAATACTTATCTTTGAAAAACAATTTTTTTTGTTTCTTTTTAACAAACCAGAAACATTGAACTGTGTGTTTTCATTCTGTATTATCACTATACACTGCTCAGCCACAACATTAAAACCTCCTGCCTAATATTGTGCTGCCAATACAGCTCTGATGTTTCCAGGCATGTGTGAAGACGTGCCCTTCGCCACTTGGTCCTGGAGAGGCCTGCTTGCCAGCCTCCTCCCCTGTGACTATGACTCTTTGATGTATTTGTCTTTAATGCCGCTATTCTACCTTCAGACAAACTATTTATGTAGGTTGCTTTATTTATCTTATGTTTTAGTCACCCTGTACCCATTATAGGCGCAGAGTGTGTAATGTAATTGTTTATAGTGTGTGTGTGTGTACTGTGAAATGTATTGCCTGCTCTCCTGTACTGCTGAGGTTTGCTACCAACTAGGTGGGTTTGGCTATGGAGCTGGTCTAGTGCCCTCTGTTGGTAGCAACAGCAATATGCACTACCTGAATAGCAAGACTGGTTCATTTGCATATTCGGGTAGATTTGCATATTGCTAATTCTGCAGGCACATGAGATATTTTCTGTTAAATATTGTCTCCACCACCCCTTTAAAAATATGCCATTGTGTTATAATACGTCACTGTATGTTGCATGCTATGATTTGGCTGTTTGTAATTTTATTGAGTTTTCACAGCAATGTTAATGTAATGACCATATGGGCTATTCCCAAGTAAAATAAAGTTTTAGTCAGTTCTTTTTCACTCTCAACACGTAGTCTTGTCTTGTGATTGGAGGGGACAGCTATACTTATACTGGGGATTGCTATGCTCTGCATACTCCCCTGAGCTTGAATCACTTAGCTCTTTTAAAAGCTTGTTCCTGACACTGTCTCATTGGAGGAGAGGTCTTGCCCACACAGTCCTGGATGCTGGAGGTTCATACAGGGTAGAAGGAAGAGGTTTTTCTCACACAATCCTGGAGGACAGAAGCTGATCCAGGGTGGACGGAAGACGGCAAGGCTCCAGTTAAGCTAGGCGGTTGTGGAGTCTGCGGTGGTTGTGGTGTCCGGTGCAGTGCTTGTGGTCCTCAGAGCAAGCTAGGAAGCGTCCATCAACGGAGGGTACTCAGTCGGAGTACGGGGAGCTCTGTTACAGCATGGACTCCACAAGACATCGTAATGTGTCCTGTGTTATCTGTCATCAAGACATTAGCAGTAGATCTTTAATTCTTGTTGTGAGCTGGGGTCTCCATATAACGGATTTGTAGTTCCAGCACATCTCACATGCTCAGTCAGACAGAAATTTTGGGATTTTGGAGGCCAAGGCAACACCTTGAACTCTTTGTCATGTTTCTCAAACCATTCCTGAACAATGTTTGCAGTGTGGCATGGTGCGTCATCCTACTGAAAGAGGCCAAAGCATTAGGGATTACCATTGCCATGAATGGGTGTAAGTGGTTTGCAACAGTCTCTAGGTATGTGTCAAAGTAACATCCACCTGAATGCCAGGACCCAAGATTTCCTAGCAGAACATTGCCCAGAGCATAACACTGCCTCTGCAGGCCTGCCTTCTACCCCAAGTGCATCCTGCTGCCACCTCTTCCCCAGGTAACTGACGCACATGCACCTAGCTAACCACCTGATCTAAAGAAAATGTGATTCATCAGACCAGGCAATTTTCTTCCATTGGTCCATGGTCCAGTTCTGATGTTCTCTGTTCCTATTGAAGGCACATTTGGGGAGAGAGAGTGGTCATAATAAGCACTCTGACCATGATACATATGCTCACTGACACACATGCTCACTGCAGACAAGCTCACTGACACATATGCGCACTGCAGACATGCTCACTGACACACACAAGCTCACTGTAGACAAGCTCACTGACACACAGATGCTTACTGCAAACAAGCTCATTGACACACACATGCTCAGTACAGACAAGCTTACTGACACACATGCTTACTACAGACAAGCTCACTGACAAACACATACAAGCTCACTCACTAGCAGGCACATACACACACACACACAATCACTGCCATAGGCTGAAGCCTACCTGGCCCTGAATGCTATGGGAGCCACTTACTGGCCTCTTCCAGCAGGTAAGGTCAGCAGCTTCAGTGTGGGGCGGGGCCTGCACGTGCGCCAAAGCTTGCATGTGGGAGGCGGGGCATGAATGCAGAGGTGGTGCTGGGAGTTGTGAAGCAAAATTAATTGTGCTCCTTTCAGCTGCTGCAGCCTAACTGAGCCCGCACCAGCTTCCAGCACCTCTCTCTTTAATCTTCAGTCCGAGGGGCAAATCATAAAAAGGCCCATTAGTCTAATGATTAGGGTAGATTGTCCGGCCCCAGGTGCCCCGGCCCACTGTGAAATTTCCCGGTATCCTAGTGAGCCAGTCCGGCCCTGCTATGAAATGCTCCCTCACAGTTCTATTCCAATAAACCCCATTGTCATGAGCTGGCCACCGTGGAGCACCACCGCATTTCGCATGGCACTGCTTAGGGATCTGGTCATCAACAGGAGGCGATAATGTCTGTGATGCCATGCAGCCGTGCCCCCTAGTGAGTCTTGTGGATAATCTGGTTCTGTATACACCATGAACACTTCTGCTGTCACTGTGCACTTTTACAATGTCAGCTCGTCTATGTCCCCTCCTTCCACCATTCAGCATCCTTCCGCCCTATAATCTTAAATTGCTGCTTTTTAATTTCTCAAATTAAATTCTCATTGTTGCGCATCAAGCGGCTTTGACTATATGTATAAAAGGTTTGTTATGCTTATTTCTGTACAAACAGAGCAGATTAGCATTTGTACAATGTATCAGTCACGGTGCTTAGCTTGCTTTCAATTCAATAAGAAATAGTGAGAAAACGTGTTAGTGTACGACAACTTGCTTAGGAAGAAGACAGACAAAACACGTGTACAAACACACGCATACACACACAACTACATGTACACAAGCTGTCACTAATGAAAGTAAGAAAGATGTATTTTTACTCTTACACTTTCAAAGTAGTGAATAAAATAGCTGGATTGGAAAAAATGCCCAGTCTGGCTACGTTTTCAGTTCAATAACTTTGGCCTAAAATTTGGAATTAAAGAAACACTCCGGTCACCATAACAACTTCCCAAACTGGTCCTTGATCTTTGAATTCACTCTTTGTTGATAATTCTTATTTTAGTGAATAACCCTGTATCTGTGTGAGAGATAACTGCTGCCAGAAGCAGGGCAGCTGTGCAATTGATGGTTTAAGATAAAACATATGTGTCATTTTATATTATATCTCTCAGTTCCCACCCCAATGACATTTGTTAGAGGAACTGCCACTGGTGCAGCTGCACCGGGGCCAGCATGCAGATGGGGCCCATCAGGTGGCCCAAGCATTTAGGGCCACCTGATGGGCCCAATATCTTCATTACACAACCGTGTAATATCACGACCGGGCCCCTTTAAAAAAATTGCAGCCTCATCACAAGTAGTGCTGGGAGGAAGTGACGGCTGGTAAAGTGAGCAGGAAACTTAATCTTCACCAATCTCTGAACCATGTCTAATCTCTCCAATGTTCCATTTCCTCTATCCGACCACTATCTACTATCCATCGACATCCGCATACCCCATACCCAAAGTACCTCACCACACCAGTTTTGCAGAAACCTTCATGGTCTTGACCTACAGCAATTCTCCACCAACCTCCAAAGTCTCCTTTTACCAATCTCAAATCTCACCAGCCCTAACACTGCAACCTCCCTCTACAACTTCACTCTCTCCTCTCAACTAGACATCATGGCACCTCTTACACTTAAACGCACTAAGCACCCCCAATTACAACCCTAGTACACCAAGCTGACCTGATACCTCCAAAAATTTTCCAGAACTGCTGAACACTACTGGAGAAAGTCTCAATCTGCATCTGACTTCCTCCACTATAAATTTATGCTGCACTCCTACAGTCTGTCTCTTTCCTCTTCAAAAGAAAACAATTTCAATACACACAATATCCCAATACCTCCTCCGTTGGACTCACAATGTGGTCTTATTCATCAACTCATAGAGCAGGAAACACTCTTGACCTCATCTTCACCAATCTCTGTACCATCTCTAATCTCTCCACACACTCCCGTGAGCCCAAACGACTGTTTCATGCTTTTAACTCTCTTCTTCGCCCTGCCTACTCCTCCTACCAACTTGATCCCCACAAATTTTGCAACTCACTTCAATGAGAAGATTTCCACAATAATCTCTCGATCCAATACAAACTTTTTACCCGCTACAGCTAATTTGCACCCGCTACAGCAGAAGAGGTTTCTGCTCTGCTCTGTTCCTCCTGCCCCACCACCTGTTCCCTAGACCCTATTCCCTCGTATCTCATTCCGCACTTTGTCTCCTTCTCTTGCTCTGCCTCTCACTTACATTTTCAATCTCTCCCTCTCTTCTGGCACATTTCCTGTACCCTTTAAACATGCAACCGAAACCCTGACTCTGAAAAAGCCCAACCTTGACCCTAATTCCCCATCCAACTACCGCCCTATCTCACTACTTCAGTTTGTCTCCAAGATTCAGTATTTCTTTTTTCTGGCTCTGCCTCTTCTCCCTAATCCCTCTCTGTTGGTGTTCCCCAAGGCAGGGGCGTACCTAGAGCATTTGGCACCCGGGGCGGATCCTGTGCTTGGCACCCCC